CCAACGAGAGCTGTTCGTGCATTAGCTCCGCCCACTGCCGAGAAACCGCCATATCTTCTGCTTGTTCTTAAAAGCTGAATAATTCTAAATTAAATTATTGTTATTTTGACAGGAAAATACAACAAAGAATATGGTTTACATGTAGCGCGTCGATTCAGCGTGGTATGCAAGACTCTCGCTCTCTCTCTTTGCATGTGTGAGAAACACAGCGCTATCAGTAAAGTGACGGCGAGTCGTGTGCCTTCACACAAGTTTACGGTTCGTCAAATACAGGTGTGCTGCGTGCTACATACTGCGCATCCATTGAGTACATGACATGATCCATTGAGCACATCCAAATAGTACAGATCGCTTGACGGAGAGCGAAACTCTCAAGCGCTCAGTCAGCGTGTTTATCGAGTGAAAATCTGTGTTGAACGCCTCTCACACACATACTGGCGAGTAAAATCTAAGAATTTATCTGCCAGTATCCTTGTAAACACAGTTGCTTATGGCTTATAGGTGAAGGGAAACACTTGAGAAAGAAAATGGATGTGTAACAGTATATTGGTTTACAGCAGTTTAATGTTCCTGAGGCATTTTGTCTTATGGATGTTAATCAATCAACAAAATGCAAAGAAATATCACTTTTGTAGCTTTAACACAGATTTATTAGATTTAATTTATACAGGGAAGACTATGCAGTTTTATTTTACATTTGATTATTCAATCTCTGTACCTGAATACTGTTAGACTTACCTGAAAAATATAAAGCACTGCTTATTTCATTTGTATCTTTGTTCGGTTATATTTATCTATGCTTGTAATTTGTTTATTTCCTATGCTGATTTACTCGCCTACAAAATCCCACCAATCATTATTTTTTTCCAAATAAACTATTCAAGTCATGTGGTGTTTTTTTTTCATGTAAATATCGCAGAAATATAAAATCTCGCAATGTGAGTTTTTTCCAATGTCGTGCAGCCCTAATTTTCACCGCAAAAATTAAATCAAACCACCAGTAGGTGGCGGCAAAGGACTCTTTAAATAACTTAGTCAATTAGTCATTTATTCAATCGATTCGTTCAAACTGCTGATTCATTCAGAAACGAGGCAAGTGACTGTCTTTATGAATGGGCCACTGAATCATTGACTCACTTGATTCATTCATAAACATGGATCCATTCAGTAACGAAACACCGCTGAGTTACTCGGAGACACACAACAGTTCTTCTGTGGCTTTGATTGGAGCTATTTTTATCAGCGAAATTGAGCAAAAACAGTCAATATTGTGTCTAAAATGAAAGTCACTTAATTTTAACTTTTTTTTTATTGAACTACTATTGTATAAAATCATTGTCACATTGCAATCGTGTTGATATTGCAAGCATCTTGGTCGTCTAATGTTGGTGCTTACCTAAATCATATATTATAAATATAATTTTTTCCTACTGCAGTATGCATCTATAACATTCTGTGAGTTACTTTGTGTTCGGTTGCGCTCATTTGTTTTGGTTTCTACACTAGTCTCTCACTCTCACTCAGGCTGCGCAAAGCAAACCTCATCTGGCACGACATCAATACATCAGTCTCCGTTTACACTGAAAGCAATAAAATCAGAATCATCATCAGCGTGAAACCACAGGTTTACATGCGGATGTTAGCATATGTATGACGTCAAAACGGAAAATCAGCTAATTTCCGGTCCCTGACCGGTCGATCGGTGCATCTAATGTATGTGTAGGGGTGGAACAGTTCGCTGAAAAAAAATCGAACCGTACGGCACGCACTATGGACCACGGTTCAACTTAAATCTGACAACGCATCTGTAATATGGTTTGCTATAAATAACACGTAAAACAAACAGGGTTCGGCTAATATGTTTCTGTTGATAGATGTGCATTCTGGCTTCCCAATACAGTACAACAACAGCGTTTGGGGGGGGGGGGGGGGGGGGAGGTGGGGCAAACGCTCTACTGATTTAAAATGTATATTTTTAACTCAAAAAATTAGGTAACATTTATTGCAAATCAGCAGTATCATTTTAGTATAATTGAGATACTGTAATCGTTTTTATTACAAAAAAAAAAAAAGGGGGGGGGGGGGGGGGGGGGAATGTGGACAAACCATTCGCTCTTGTTAAATGCGAATGCCGTATGCTGGAATATGAGCAGTCATTTATTCAGTCATCACCCAGGTGCTGATAGTGCACGTGCACAGATGAGACTTGAACTGCACACATTGGTATCTGTGTTTAAGTTAAACTCGTTTAAGCTTTGCCAGTTTAAACATTTAAGAGCCAGAGGACGCGAGCTCGAGCGCAGTGAGAAGATTTGTGCATGCGCTCATCCAAAGAGCGCAAACCCGCGCCTCAAAACAGGCGCAACTATTAAGCTTTCTCAGAAGTATTGTTTAAATGGACAAATTCACACAAAAATTGTCAAAATGCCCGTCTTGGTAAGTGGTGGAATGAGCGTAGCGTGTGTGTTGAAGAGGAAAGCTGTGCTCTGGCAGGATTCGTTCAGCCCCCACCTGAGACTGCCTCCCCCTGACAGGCCATTACCCAGCATGCCTGTGGTGCTGAGTGCTGCGGGCCACACCCCCCAACCTGGCCCTTCTCCTCAGGCCCCTCCCCCTACACAGGGAGCGGGACGCTCTCAAGATGACGCCATGGTGGATTACTTCTTCCAACGGCAACATGGCGAGCAGCCCGGCTACAACAATTGCAAACACCGCTGGCCGACTGGTGACAACATGCATGCAGACAACCAGGTATAAGTTAGTGACTAGGTAACCACTGATTTTTATTTTTTTTTTTACTGGTATAAAATTAAATCTTATAATAATTTTATAACTTTTCACACAGGTACGATCGATGGATGAGCTTAACCATGACTTCCAGGCACTTGCACTGGAGGGTCGAGCCATGGGAGAGGTGAGAGACCTTTCTTTCTTCATCTTCTGCATGATGCTTCATTTGGGCTTATGTATTAATGTTTCTGTCTGATGTCCCCGCTCTGCAGCAGCTTCTTACAGGGAAGAAGTTTTGGGAAAGCGATGATTCAGGGAAAGATGGACCAAAAGGAATCTTTCTGGACCAGTGGAGAGACAGCGCTTGGGGAGCCTCTGGTATGTGTGTGATTAAGATGCGATGGTTGTATTTTACATATTTAGTATTTTTCTTTCTAATGTCCTTTTTTTTTTCTCTAGATCACTCGGTGTCCCAGCCAATCATGGTTCAGCGCCGACCAGGCCAGGGCTTCCATAGCGTCGGAGAGGCCGGATCTGTTCTGTCGCCACGTTCTGAGAGTGGTGGATTAGGCGTCTCCATGGTGGAGTATGTTCTTAGCTCCTCTCCTGCTGAGAAAATGGACTCGTGTCTGCGCAAAGGAGCCTTTGTGAGTCTCTTTCATCATTTATTAAGATTCTGTTCATTTAGGTAGAAAATTCTTTATTTACTACCTTTATATTATTCCAAACTTTAAAAAAACTCCTCTGGATTTGCAACAACATGAGGGTGTGTAAATATTTCTTTAACTCCTGAACTCCTTATATCCATTTCAATCTCCCTTTCTATTTCTTTTAGGGTCCAAGAGATTCAGAGGTGGATGACCCTGAGAAAAGGGTGGAGCAAAAACCCAAAACAACCTTTGACCCTGAGCGGAATGAACTTCAGGAGCCAGAGCCGGATGTTTTGGATAACCCCAATGGACTGCCCAATCAGAATGGACTTGATGTTGACGTTAAGGATTTTAGGTATACACTGTCAAAAAATGTATTGTTATTGTAATTTTAAAGAAATTAATGCTTTTATTAAACAAGGATGCATTAAATTTATCAGATATTTGATCAGACAGTGAAGACATTTATAATTTAACAAAATATTTCAATTTTAAATAAATGCTGCTCTCTTGAACATTATATTTGCTAAAGAATCCTGAAAAAAAAATGTATCTCAATTTTCACTATAAATATTAAACAGCCTGTTGATTTCTGAAGGATCATGTGACACTGAAAACTGAAGTAATGGCTGCTGAAAATTCAGCTTTGCCATTACAGGAATAAAAAAATGTGTGTGTATATATATATATATATATATATATATATATATGACAATTATGGATGCCACAATTACGTAATCGTTCGAAATGCCCGTCTTGGTAAGTATCCTATTGCAGACATAGCCGGCTAAACGTACTGTATCAGTGCACTGGATCAGTGCATTCTCTTAAAGTGACAGCACTTTCTTAATATTAATCAAATAGCAACAACACAGAAATACATTTACATTTTAATACTTTATTCAATGTCTGTACCTGAAAACTGTTAGACCTACCTAAACCCCCCCCCCCCTGAAATCACTGTTTATTTTATTTGTATCTTTGATCTATTGTATTTATTTGTGCTGTTGCTTGTAGTTAGATTAATCTTATTTTCTTTATTTTTATTTGACAGTATAGTTTTTGCCTAAACATAGCACATACCAAACCGTACCGAAACCGTGACTCTAAAACCGGGATACAAACCGAACCGTAAGTTGAACCGTTCCACCCCTATATATGTTTATGTATATATGTATATGAAATTTGATGTATAGTATAGTGTGTGTGTATATATATATATATATATATATATATATATATGACAATTATGGATGCCACAATTACGTAATCGTTCGAAAGCGGCAATTAATCATTCAAAGTCCACTTATGTTATTCTGCACGCTTAAGATATGTTTTTTTTCTTCTACATGTTATAAGGGTTTTTCCATTGTTTTAGTTTTAGTATAACATTATAATACCATAATCGACAATTATGATTTTTGTCATAATCATGCAGCCCTAGTGTGTGTATGTGTGTGTGTTCTTTTGCAAAAAACGATAAAAGAAAAGCGCTTATTGCCGTGCATTATTCTCCACATATAGCATGATCTGAACCCTAAACGTGTTTTGTCAGAAAAGCCGGTTTTGTCCACTTTCAAGGCATCGAGTTCACGTTTTCCTGCAGAAGCCGACAAGTGCCATTGTTGTTTTTGAACAGAAGCCGATAAGTCAATTTTAGTGAATCAGCATGCTGTATTCAGGTCAGGTGACAAGGCTACTTTCACTTTGAAAAGATGTGCTAGCTGAAAGGAGTTTCGTCAAAGCTGACTAAAAGTGATCGAGGATGGATAATTTCGACGAACTTGATGAACCTGTGATATCTTCAGGGCGAAAAAGGAAATTAAAAGCTAAAACGTTTTCACGGAACCTTGCAAAAGCAGCGCGTTACAATGGTGAGGGAAAAACTGTGTATTGCGTGTAATCACATCCATACAGTTTATGATCACAACAACAACAACGTTTGTCAGGCATCTACATTGTCATCTGAGGAGATTACAAAGATTAAACGAGTGTTTTTTTAAAACTCTAAAACATGAAATGTGGAGTTAACTGCTTTTGCCAGAAAACGACTGTTGGAGTTATCTACTTTTGCTATAAAACAAACTTTTAATATGTAAAAAAAAAAAAAACATACTTTCAATTAACTTTAATTTTGTAAATTACCTGTGTTTGAGTTATTACTTAATCAAAACAACCCAACTGCAGTTTGATTGATATTACTTGGAATGCGCAATAAAAAAAACATGATTTCTGAGTTATCAATTTTTGTAAATGAACTCTTAGTGCTGTCCATCGATTAAAAAAAGTTAACTAATTAATCACACATTTTTCTGAAATTAATCGCGATTAATCCCACCTAACATTAATGTTTTTAAATATACTTTTATATTGCAATAATTTCACATTCAATCTTCAAATTAATGTACAAACAACATACAGTATATTTTTAAATATTTATTTAATGGCATCTTTATGATACCAATACTGATTTCTCTATAAAATCCCCCCCCCCC